TGGTACAGTGATGCCACCTGCTTCATTCTTCCTGCTAAGGTTTACTTTAGCTATTTTGGATCTCTTATTTTTCCAGATGAATTTCATGGTTGCTTTTTCTATTTCTATGATGAATGCCATTGGGATTTTGATCAGAATTGCATTAAATCTGTATAGTGCTTTTGGAAGTATGGTCATTTTGATAATATTAATTCTGCCTATCCAAGGGCAAGTTGTCTCTTTCTATCTTCTAAGGTCTTCTTTGACTTCTTTATTTAGGGTTCTGTAATTTTCATTATGTAGATCTTTCATTTTCATTAAGTTGATTCCCAAGAATTTTATCTTTTTTGAGGCTATTGTAAATGGGGTAGTTTTCTTTGTTTCCCTTTCTGAGGATTTGTCACTAATATACAGAAATTCTTTTGATTTATGGGTTGTTGACTTTATATCCTGCTACTTTGCTGAATTCATTTACTAGTTTTAGAAGTTTTATGGTGGAACTTTTAGGGTCTTCTAGGTGTAGAATCATATCATCAGCAAATAGTGCCAATTTGAGTTCTTTTCTATGTGTATCTCTTTAATTACTTTCATCTGTCTAATTGCTCTAGCCAGTGTTTCAAGAACTATGTTAAATAGAAGTGGTGAAAGAGGGTATCCCTGTTTTTTTTTTTTTTTTTTTTTTTTTTACAGTTTTTAGAGGGAATGTCTTCAATTTCTCTCCATTTAGAATGATGTTGGCCTGGGGCTTAGCATAGATAGTCTTTATGATGTTGAGATATGTTCCTGTTATGCCTTATTTTTCTGGTGTTTTGAACATAAAGGGATGCTGTATTTTTGTCAAATGCTTTTTCTGCATCTATTGAGATGATCATATGGTTCTTATTTTAAGTCTATTGATGTGATGAATTATATTTATTGATTTCTTTATGTTGAACCAAACTTGCATCCCTGGGATGAATCCCACTTGATCTTGGTGCACAATCTTTTTGATATATTTTTTGTATTAGATTTGCTAGAATTTTATTGAGAATTTTTGCATCTATGTTCATTAGAGATATTGGCCTGAAGTTTTCTTTTTTTTGATGTGTCGTTGCCTGGTTTTGGAATCAGGGTGATACTGGCCTCATAGAATGAGTTTGGAAGTGCTGCCTCTTTTTCTATTTCCTGAAATAAATTGAAGAGTATTGGTAGTAGGTCTTCTTTAAAGATCCCGTAGAACTTGGCTGTGTATCCATCCGGACCTGGGATTTTCTTGGTTGGTAGACTTTTGATGGCATCTGCTATTTCATCACTTGAAATTGATCTGTTTAAATTGTGTATATCATCCTGATTCAATTTGGGCAAATTATATGACTCTAGAAATTTGTTGATGCCTTCGATATTTTCTATTTTTTGGAGTACAAGTTTTTAAAATAATTTCTAATTATCTTCTGTATTTCTGTAGTGTTTGTTGTGATATTTCCTTTTCTATTACGTATGTTAGTGATTTTTCTCTCTCCTTCTCTTCATTAGCATGGCTAAGGGCCCACCAATTTTATTTATTTTTTCAAAGAACCAACTTTTGTTCTGTCAGATTTTTCAGTTGTTTCTTTTGTTTCAATTTCTTTGATTTCAGCTCTGATTTTAATTAGTTCCTGTGTTCTGCTGCTTTTTTCTTGGACTTTGAGATGTGATATTAAGTCATTTATTTGTTGACTTTTTTTTTCTTTTAAGGAATGAACTCCATACAATGAACTTTCCTCTTAGAACTGTTTTCATAGTGTCCCAGAGATTTTGATATGTTGTATCTATGTTCTCATTCACCTCTAAAAATTTTTTAATCTCGCCCTTGATGTCTTCTGCAGCCCATTGCTCATTCAGTAGCATATTATTTAGTCTCCAGGTGTTGGAGTGGATTTTATTTCTTACTTTATCATTGATTTCAAATTTTATTTCATTATGATCTGATAGAATGCAGGATAGTTTCTCTACTTTGTATATTTGCTAAGAGTTGCTTTGTGGCATTGTATATGGTCTATTTTAGAGAAGGATCCATGTGATGCTGAAAAGAAAGTGTATTCTCTCATTGAAGGATGAAATATTCTATATATGTCAGTTCTAAATTATTGATTGTATTATTGCGTTCTAGAATTTCTTTGTTCAGCTTTTGCTTGGAAGATCTATCTAGTGACAAAAGAGGTGTGTTAAAGTCACCCAAATTTACTGTGTTGTGGTCTATTTGACTCTTGAACTTGAGAAGAGTTTGTTTGATGAATATAGATGCTCCATTGTTTGGGGCATATATATTTATAATTTTTAAGTCTTGTTGGTGTATGGTTCCCTTGAACAGTATGTAGTGTCCTTCTTTATCCTTTTTGATTGACTTTAGTTTGAAGTCTACTGTATTTGATATGAGGATGGAACCCCCTGCTTGCTTCCACAGTCCATGTGGTGAGTGGTATGATTTTTCCTAACCATTCACCTTAAGTCTATGGATATCTTTTTTATGTGATGAGTCTCTTGGAGGCAGCAGATTGTTGGGTCTTTTTTTTTTTTTTTTTTTTTTTTGATCCAATCTGCTAGTCTATGTCTTTTGATTGGTGAGTTTAGTCCATTAGCATTCAGGGTTATTATTGAGACATGATTTGTATTCCCAGCCATTTTTGTGTATTTTTGGTATTTTATGTGACTTGTTTTCTCTTCTGGTTAGATTTTTCTTTAGTGTAATACCTGCCTCTGCTGATTTTCAACATTGTTTTTTATTTCCTTTTCTTGGAATATTTTGTTGAGGATGTTCTGTAGTGTAGCCTTTTAGTTGTAAATTCTTTTAACTTTTGTTTATCATGGAAGGTTGTTATTTCATCATCAAATCTAACGTTTAGTTTTGCTGGATATAAGATTCTTGATTGGCATCCATTTTCTTTAAGAGCTTAGGTATATGTTGTTCCATGATCTCCTGGCTTTGAGGATTTAGGTTGAAAAATCTGCTGATATACGAATTTGTCTCCCCCATATGTGGTCTGATTCCTCTCTCTTGTGGCTTTTAAGAATCTATCCTTATTCTGTATGCTAAGCATTTTCATTATAATGTGACTTGGTGTAGATCTGTTGTAATTTTGTACATTTGGTGTTCTGTAAGCCCTTTGTATTTGGTTTTCCAATCTGTTCTTCATGTTTGGGAAATTTTCTGATATTATCTCATTGAAAAGAGTGTACATTCCTTTGGTTTGAAACTCTGTGAAAGAACTATCAAGGCTTGCTATTGAAGAAAATGCCCGTTTATTGAGGAACAGCTCTACATATTTATAGAGCCGGGGGCGGTTTGATAGTTATGACAGAATGGTTTGACAGTTAGCATGGGGTGCTTTCTGATTGGTGGGTAAGGATCATGTGAGACAGCAGGGCTCACCATTGGACGGCAGGATCATGTAGCCAGCAGGGCTCACCATTGGACGGCTCTTCTTGGGGGATGGAAAAGTTAGTCTTTGGAGCCGGGGCGACTCCCAACACTCTGTGCCTTCCTCCATCCCAATAACTCTTAGATTTGGTGTTTTGATGTTGTCCCATAATTCTTGAATGTTCTGTTCATGGTTTTTTACTATCTTCACTGTGTGATCAACTTTATTTTCCAGATTGTATACGTTATCTTCATTATCTGACATTCTTTCTTCCAAGTGGTCTAGTGTGTATCCTCCATTTCAAAGATTTCTGAGTATTTTTTTTTCAGAGTCTCTCTCTCTCTCTCTTGAAGTAATCTTTTGCTACCTGTATTTGCTCTCTTATCTCATTGTTGGAGTGATCAATTTTTGCCTGTATTTGCTCATTTAGGTCATTCTTTAATTCATAAATCTTTAATTATGAACCTTCTGAACTCCTTCTCTGACATTTCATCAACTTTGCTGTCCATGGGTTCTGTTATTATAGTGTCCTGTTTGTTTGGGGCACTTTCCTCCCTTGTTTTTTCATGTTGTCTGGTCCATGTGTCTTCCTTTCTTGCAGTGTGAATCTCAGATATTACAGTTTCTTCCCTATATCCTTGCAGTACCCATGCAGACTGTCTTTACTTCACCTTGATGTTGGGCTTCCAGACTCTGCTGGTGTCCTTCAATGTATGCTACTGCATCCTGGACCTGGGTCCTGCACAAGTTGGCCTGAGTGGATCTGGACCTCTGGGCTTGAACTCCCCTGGTAGTCTGCTGGTCGGAAGGGGCAGTCCTGTGCCAGAGCCTGGGCTCTGGCTGATGTCTGCCTCACTTTGAGGGGTGGACCAGGCCTATTGTGAGCGTGGGTCCCACACAGTCCAGTGTGGGTAGGTCTGGGCCACTGGGCTTGACCCCCCGCTATATTCTGCTGGTAAAAGGGGCAGTCCTGCCACAGAGGCTAGGTTCTGGTGGGTGTCTGTCCCGCACAGGCTCCATAGTCCCCATTGTTTTCGACTCTTTTCTGAGGCACTATTGGCACCTCTTTGGCCCCAAATGAAGGCAGCAGACATCCTGGGATGATTAGGGGTTTGTAGTCAGAATAGGTCTGGTCCAGCTGCAATACCTTAGGCAGATTATTTAATGTAGCTTCGCATCAAACTGATCAGTTCCTTTAGATGTAAAGTAAGGATGACTGCATGCCTTACAAAGTTCTCATGTGGATTACATAAAGTACCATTTATATGAAGTTCTTACCCCATGTCCAGCATAAAGTAGATCTACAAGTGGAGGTAGCGGGGATTTAATTCTAGATCCTATATATCCTATATACTGCACAGAGGCAGACCAGAACTTAGAAATCAGCTATACTTAATGCTAATATGAGGAAGTCCAATTAACCAATAAAATTAAAGGGAGAGGGTTTTTCAAATAAGTGTATGAATCTCTAGTATTATTACATGTTAGTTACTTAGTGAATTTATTAGCATTTTAATTTAAAGGACTGAAAACAAAGTATTGTTGTTACAGTATTAGAAAGTAGAAAATTCTGTGTAACACTGTGTTTATCAGAACAGGAGCATAGGTACTTTTTTGAAGCAGCCACGTTTTATTATCTTACAGATAAATCCAAAGCAGATGCCAAAGTTTCTGTGGTGGCCAAGAAAAGGGTAAGATCATGTTTTATTAGTATAAAATAAATAAGCTTTAAATTCTGTTTGACTAATACTATTTAAAAAAATATTAAATGATTTAAAAATACTTATATATATTCTATTTTTTCTTGTAAATATTTGTTGAGTATATATTTTTCTTAGGCTGACACTATTAAATTAATATTCGTGGTTGCTTATATTAGCATTAAAGAATTAGAAATTAGACTTATAAGTAAACAAGTAAACAAATACTTTTGTTTAAATTACATTTTATATACATACTCATATATATTAAAATATTTTTTCTTGCTTATCATGTTACTATAAGGTGTGCAAGGAATCTCATGGGGAAATTAAAGTTCTCATCTTAATATGGATTTTACTTTAAATGTAACTGGAGCAGAACATTAGGTATTTGAACAAATCTTCAGAACACAAAAACTTTTTAATGAAAAGTTATAAAATTGATGGAATTTTTAAAGAGTTTTTTTAAAATTTAACATATTTTTCTAAACATTAGAAAAATGTCTAATTCCACTTTCAAAAATATGATTGGGATAGCATAAACCTTGACATTCTTCTCCAGTGACCATGCTCTTACAGGACACTTCTGGGGGGGAAAAAGGAGTTGATGCCTTAAACTAATTCTTCTGACAATATATTATAGTCACAAGAAAAGGAATTGTGCTGGACAGTACGTTGAGTGGTGGGGTTCAGGCATGACAGACCCAGGGACAGTCAAATGTAACATGAAGTAACAGAGAAGATTATTAGGCATGAATTTAGAGATGCCTGGGCAATGGGATGAATATCCTTTTGATAGTATGATAATACTTTTTAGTAGTCCTTTTAGAAATCATATCTTATTATTATTTTGCTTTTTGGTTTGTAAAAGGATTCTGGACATTTAACTGGCTAAATAATGTTGATACTCCTTTACAGGAAAGAATTCTGTCTCACAAAAGACACAATTACCCTTTAAGAAAAAAAGAGAGAATAGAACTTTTATGTATATCTGGAGATTTGGCAGAGGTAGTGAGGTAGTGTTGCATTGTTACCATGGATAGAACTATTTATTTCAATCTCTGCTAAAGGATATTTAGCATAAAAAATATAGTGATTGTAATAACAAACTTTTTAAAATATATTTTTATATTGCTTTATTTTTACCAATTCTTCTCAAAAAGTACACTACTGTTCCTAGGAAAGTGTCATTCAAAGTGTGGTATGCAGTTAAGTACAGAAAGTGAGACATTTAGGGATTTATTTTGTAACTTGTCTGATTAATTTTTGTCTATCAAATCTAATAATAAAATGGAGGTAATGTTTATATATTATTGTTTTTATTTTACATTTTCCCCAGAAACTCACTTTCACTTTATAAAATAAACTTTTTCATTTTATAAAACTATAGATCTCAGACAAGGATGAAAAACTGGTTCTTTACACTGGTAGTTTAAGAGATACTGCCTATGAGACATTTCAGGAATTTGTAGCAATGCTTTGGGTTATTGTAATTTTAGGAAATACAGGGAATGCAAGGAATTTTATTGGGCAAGGGCTAGGGACACTAGATAAACTAAAATATGGTATAAAATTTACACTAAGATTGCTTTTGGTTAGCCTGTTGTTTTTCACTCTTACTTTGATATTTTCCACAAAGATCTACCTTACAATTCTTTGTTACATCTTCTTGTTCCAAGTTATCATTAAGACATTCTTCCCTACCCTTTGAAAGTTATGGTCAAGTTATTTCAAGTACTGGAGATAATGTGTGCCCTTACATGTTGTAGAATTTTCAAAAAAGATTTATTTTCTGTGATATTTTGTTAGTAGGTCATCCCATGTCTTAGTCCAGAAAATTATTTTCCCCATAAGGAATTCTGTTGCTCAGTTCATTTGGGAGATTATCACATTTTCTTATTTTGATAGTTGGATAATATGCAGTTTATTTTGGAAGCTATTTCTATTCCATTAATACTACTTTCTTTTCTCCTCTGTCATATACAAATATTTAATCTGCTATTACTTAATCGTGGTTTCTATTCTTATAGCTATGATTACTTCTGTTAGTACATTTTTCTATAAATCTTACTCAGAATGGCTTTGTTAATATTATTTCATTATATCCAAACTTATTAATGATAGGGATAACTAGTATTTCTTATTGCTTATGTCTTCAAATATAGTTGTTCTAAAGCATATACATATGGAAATATAGTTCATCATAAGTATGTTACTTTTAAATTAGTTATAATTTTTTGAAATAGTTTATGTCACCAACTATATTAAGTAGGGTACAGACTATAATTCTGCAATAAGGAAACTCCAATTTACAGTGAGTCATGCAAAATAAAAGTTTATTTCTTTATCATGTATCTGACCAAAGATAGGCTGCTGGTCCACTTTGAGAGGAGACCTTGCCCTATAAAACCATTCAGACTGGCAAGTTTCCTAGGGTGTGGTTTTATATGGTCAAAGGTTGAATATACTGTCACATCACATTTATATTCTTAATCATGGAAGAAAAATAAACTGGAAGAGAAGTACGAACAATTAGCTAAAGAAGAAAACATGAACTTGATGCTGTATATGTCACTTTACTCACTTCCTATTGCCCTAAATTTAGTAACATATGGTCATATCCAATAGCAAGGGGAAGAAGGAGAATAGAGCTTCCAGTGGTCCAGCTTGTGGGAGAGATTCTGTTGCTAACAGGAAGAAGAGAAGCCTAGATACTGGGTTACCATTAGAGAGCTATGAGTTTCATTTCAAGATAAGAAATGGAATATTTCAGAGTATTTGTTATTAAAAGGGACATTATAGGGTTAAAAATACTAACATACTATTGTATTTACCCTTACAATATTAAAGGGAAATAGATTTTATCAGTTGTTCTTAGGGTATTTAAGTTGCCATAAGGGTATTTAAGGTGGCTAACAGAGAAGTGTCAGAGCCAGAATAGAATCTAGTTTTGATGATTCCATAACACAGCATGCTTTAACTGTTCTTTGTTTTCTAAATCACTGTAGTACCCTTCTTTTGGAGTCTAACTTTGAACTTACAAATGGACACAGTCCTAGTTAAAAATATGTCTTCATCTGTATAGCATTTTCAGATAACAAAACATTCCAAACATGTCTTTCAATTTAGACCCTTGGATAAAGGAAGAGCAGACATTATTATCATCTTCATATGAAGGGTCAATTACAGTAAAAGAAATTAAGGAATTTGCCCTATATATTATTCTTCAGATACTATTATTTAACTTTATTAGTTTTCCTTGGTTATGTAGCACATGACTATACTTAAACTAGCAGATATAGACCTGGTTTTAGCCTTCTGCATAACATACCTCAGCAGATATACCCAGGTTTTTAGTCAACAAGTCCTCTGTTGATGAACATGGTATTTTCAAATTGGTATTATGGAATGTTCCTGCCACAAATAATGCTTTAATAAACATGTGTGCATGTGCATGCTATTATTTCTGCAGGATAATTCCCAAAGAGGGATGGCTAGATCAAAGCCAATCTCCATGTAATCCTGCCTCCCTTGAGAGGACCTTGAGAGATATGTTATGCTATGTCTTGGCCTATGTTAAGTTTTAGTAGTATTTGCAGCAACTTATTTGAACCAAGACATAAGAATATTGCCATCAAGATATCATTACTAAGTGCCCACTAGGAAGGGTGCTTCTACATCTAGCAACAAGCCACTTGCCATTCCTCCAGTTCATCTCATTTAGCACATATGATGAGCTGAATAGTGTAGGTGCACCTCACTGATCAATTCTGCCCCAATGGCAGTAGTCTGAAAGAAAAAGAGTCTGAGTGAGCCCGACTAATTTCTTGAGTTCCATTTGATTAAGTACAAGGGGTAGGTCTAGATCACCTCCAAGTCCTTCCCTACTCCAATATCCCATAAACTATAAAGTATAACAGCTCAGCAAGTACTTTAAGAGTGTCAAGGGACCTGTGCACACCAAGGTTAATATTCACAATAAATATATGAGATAACTGGGCCTAGAACTAAAGAATAAACCAGTAGTGCTGCAACAACAAAGATAGGGTAGGTGATGGTGCTACCTGTTTTAAATTTTGGAATATGGTTGAGTACATACACAGATTACATATATATGTATTTATAATCACTTTGTATAGTTTTATAAAAATCTAATATACAAAGCAATTATAGTAACATATAGTTTCTATATTATAATAATAGGTGCTTATTTAATAAATGCTAGTACTATCCTCTCTAATTTCCACTGAGGAAGAATTAGGAAGTTTTAAGAAAATTAAACATTCTCAGATTTATGATACTATCATAGGGGCTGGAGATAGCTCAGTGGTAGAGTGCTTTGCCTAGCATGCCTGAGGCCGTGAGTTTAATCCCCAACACCACAAAAATAATAACAATCAAATAAAGCTGTCTGTTTGACTTGTAAAAAATAAACAAACAAAACCAAAACTAAATATAATAGTATCATAGTTCTAATAGGATTGGGTAAAAGCCTTTTTTGTAAGTAGGTCCCAATTTTAATATTTTTTCTAATACGATAACATAATATTTGAAGTCCAGAATTTTAGAATCATTTAAAAGCCACAATCTTTTCTTCCCATATTTTATTGGTGAGTTATAGTCTTATACAATGGTAAGATTTATTGTTACATATTAGTATATGCACACAGATTATAGCAATACAATTTGACCAATATCATTCCAAGTATTTACTCTTGCCCTTCCGTCTGCCCTCCCACTGATATCTTTCCTGTACTGATCTCCCCTCAATTTTCATGAGCTACTACCACCACCACCACCTTTCTTTCCCATTTCCTCTCTAGCTTCCACATAGGAGACAAAGTATATGACCATTGACCTTCTGAGTTTGGCTTATTTCTCTTAATATAATATTCTCAAGTTACATCCATTTTCCTGTGACATAATTTCATTTTTCCAAAAATCACCATCTGAATTAAACCAATTTAACTTAATGTATTTATGTACAGTCA